TTGTGTGTATTTTCAGTGTATATATTAAGATTGATGAGGGGGAGAGCTCAGATGGAACAATGAAGCGGTGGGGCATGTTTCTTAAAATATTCTCCCCAGGACCATGCTGATTTTTCCAATTCTGCAGTAATGAAGAAAACCATGGGAAAATAGAAATATAAATAATTTAGTAAATTTCACGATGAATTCTAACAAAAATTAATGAATTTGAGAAATTCAGAAATAAGACCACAATAGACAGCAAAGTCGAGGTAACACCAAGCAAGAACTGGGTCAGCAAGGTGAGTACCTAAGGCCTCGTCTCTGGACCTAATTTAAGAGTTTTTTGTCAAGATAAGCCACTCTGCAGAAGCCAAACTCTTCAAATCATTTCCTACTCACAAACTATCCTGTCACTTCTCAAGGAAGGGAACTGATATAACAAAAACTGATTATAACTCATGGATTCAATGGAATAGAAAATCCTATAACTTAAATAAATTAAGATATAAAAATAATCAACCTCTAAAACTAAAATCTAATATTTAACTTCTGTCAATGCCACACGATAACAAGGAAAAGAACGTCAAGTTAATATATTAGACTATGATAAAGAAATTGTATATGGCCATGAAGTAATAACTCTCCACGTAATTACAGTCAAAACAATTAACTTGAAGGAAATAAAACTGTTTTTACATTCGGTATGGCATTTTAGCTTTTGTGATTTTCATACAAAGGCAGTGAGACTTTGTCCTTCTTGAATCTCCGTGTGGAGATTTATCCATTGAGTCTTGTCTACTACTAAAACTATAATCAAACTGTACAGTAAGCTATTTATATGTCTGCAATAATTTCCTGTTCAAAATACACCAGACTTCAGTTTTATTCTGCAAAATCATTTTCAATTACATATTTAATCTCTGTGTTATTGCTTAAATTACACACATACCACCACCCCCCACCTAGATCCTGGCTGCAGACTCTGGCAGCAGCTGCCACATATGTCAAAGGGTTATTATTATGGTCAATAGCAGCCACATGTGCTAGTTGGCCACACAATTTGTACCCTATGACCTAATCCAACCTTTCGGATTTTGCTAATGTTTTTCTTAAAAATACAACGAGCGATTCCTAGTACTCATGATTCAGAAACAGAAAATACGTGTTCTAGAAGTAAGGCCTCACAGAAGTATCATTTTTCTCTCTAGATCCCAAAATAAGCAACTAGTTAGGGACTTAGAGATTGACAAGAGAAGGGGCGTCTGGAAGAGGGAGAGAGTGCCTGGCCTGCACAGGATCCATGGCCTTGCCAATTTGCAAGTATAGAAATCTCTGTGCTGTGTCTCCTCCATCTAAAATGATAATTAGTCCTATCATCGGCTGACGGGAAGTGTGGCTTTGGGTGCCTGTCAGTCACAAGCCCTTGTTAAAAGGCCTGACAAATGAATCTCATTGTTCAGCTCATATCTTCATATCAAACCACTTCCCAGGTCATAGGTTACTCTCAAATCAGCTCCCACTCCTGGTCTCATCAGTGACTTTCAGCCATGACGGGGTGGGTAGGTGTCTAAAATGCTCAGAGAACCATGCCATCCAATTCCCTATGAGCTGGTGGCATTAGGAAATTAAGTACATATGTATCCTATTACTATATAAATTTAAACAACTCCTGACACTTGAATATTATCTTTAATTTTAAGTTTGTACTAGGAACAAAATCCTACAAGTCTCTTTAGTAACCAGCACTGGAATTAACCATCACCACTTAATGAAAATCACAGCAGGAAGTTAAACCAGATTAAAAACTATCCTATTTTAAATTCACAATTCTAGGTGAGTAAAATAAAGTATTATCAGGCAGCAATGTTCTAAGCTTATTATTTTGAAGATTAAAGATAAGACTTGATAATATTTGTTCATAAATAAAAACAGAAACACACAGTAGTTTTCTGTTTAGATTATCAGGCATAGTAGAAACAAATGAATAAAGAGTATAACATGGTTATATCAAATGCAACTTTTGAAAAACTACTTACATCCAAAGAAGCCTCCTTCAGTAGGATCAGGGCCATATTCTGTGATACCAATCGGCAGGAATATCCTAAGGAAGAGAAGGGACAACACACGTGAATTGACCATTCCGTCCATGAATGCGTCTTTTTTCAATGGTTGTTCGAATTCAGCTTCCCTTCTCATATCTTCCTTATCATCACTTTAGAGCTACTGGTTCATAGAGAAGAACTGGGCAAGAGTGAAGAGTAGGAAAAGTAATTTTAGATTGATTTTGATTCTTGCAGACAGCTTTAAGAGAACTGCTTGGGGAGGTCTTCGTATCTAATGCTGAAATAAATACGTGTCAATTTTCTGTGGATTTTTCTTTATCCTTGTCATCCTTGTATAACATTAGTATAAGCCTTGGGTTATCTAAAATAACAGCAAACACTTTAGAAAGACAAATAAAATCTAATGGTGTTCCTAAATCAACAGAACCATGTCTATCATCATATCAAGATCCCTCGTTTGCTTTTTGAAAAAGTAGGTGATTCTTACAACTGATTTCATAGGAATACTATTCTCCATCGAGGGAGTCACTTTTTGTACCAAAAGTTCAAAGCAATCTTCATTTCAAGAATTAAACCCGGGTTTTTTTTTAAAGTTTGTTTTAGAACAAAAGTTTTCTGACACCAATTCTTATCTACAATTTTCATCCACTTTTTAAATAAAGTTATCTCTATGGAGTGCAAGATACTCTTTTCCACATATTTTCTAAGAAGCTTTTTCTTACTCAGGCTTTGCAATCCACTCTGAGACAGCTGGGGACACTCAGTGACACCCGAGACCAAGATGAGAGCATCTACCGACTCCTCCCCATCAAATCCACACACCCTGGGGAGGAGGTGGCTCCAGCAAACCGCCAAACCAGGTATCTGTCGGATCTCTAGTCTTTAAAATTACCCTCCACCTTCTCAGTGCCCCTCAAGAGAGAGCTGGCATCGTGTGCTTTTTACCAACCCCCATCTCAATTCATCTCATTGAGGAAAGACGAGATTCCTTCCACCTGTAAACTGGCCCTGACAACCCGTTTTTTTCTCAGCACCTTAAGCTAATGGGTCACTGATTACAGACGCATGAAACAAATCATCGGTACACAGAATTTCAACCTTGGAACAAGGATGAATGTGACAGTCTCAAAGAAGGGCCTTAACCAGTGCTGTTTCTAAAGCAAGGAGAAGCCTGCATGCATTCTCCTCCACAGCACAACGGAAATATCCATCCCCACAGGTGCTACGGTAACTAGAAACGGAGACAGGCACTGAACTAGGGGACAAGCCACAGAACTGTCGTGTTCGTGTGCTCGGTTCCCCTCAGCAGGTCTCCTTTAAATCTTGGGAAGACTCTACTGAAAGACACACAATAGAATTCCAGACAGACAAAAATTAAGACCAAGAAAACCTTGTTTTTTGTTTTGTTTTGTTTTTGTTTTTTGAGGAGGAGGAGGAACAAATATTTTTATTTGTTTATTTTGGAATGTACAAAGCATATCCTTCACTGATTGTCATTCGAGAGGAATATTTTGCAAATCGGCTCAGAAGACAAATTTTAGTTTGAAAGCACAAAATTATAGCTTTTAATCCAAATGTTATTTTTTTAAAGCAACACCATAAAGACATAGTCCAGGCTGTTAACGATGGTTATCTCAAGGGAATGCAGTTATTTCGCTTGTTAAAACTACCACATGTTATTTTAAAAACTAAAACAAACTGAATGATTTAAAATCACAATACCACACAGGCAAATATCTATTAAACCTCTAAAACAAAACAAAAAGGCATGGGGTTGGGACATGATACAATTTTCTGTGCGTTTTCAAACTTGGTCATGTCCGTATTTTAACAATAGGGATGAGTAAAAATGAGAATTTCCCAGAATGCCATTAAAATTTCTGCGTGGTAGGACTAAAATAATTGAACTCTTTGTCTCCCATTAAAACTTTACAAATGTATTCCTCCTTCACATAAATTCTCAGGCTAGGTCCAGAAGGGAGGCCTATATTTTATTTTCATTCACAAAAGGAGATATTGCCATTTTAATCACTTCCACGTTAGGCTCACTCTTTCTTTATCCCCAGAGACTTCAGGCAACTTCATGCCATAGAGACTGTTACAAATTTAGAAAAGCTGATGCAAAAGGATTTGCTGGTAGTTTTTGATTTAAACAACAGCTGCAGAAGCGAGCTGTAATTTTTAAGCCCTAGCTTGCTGCTTTATTTTATATTTTTCAATTTAAGCGGAATGCCACTTGACAACTGAAGCTACACAAAGATATGGAAAGACGTTAAGTACTTTTCTAGCCATTGCGGGGGAGAGGGCAATAAATAAAACCACTGACACCTGCATGAATTTAAATATACAAAGCTAAAGCTTTCTGAGAAGGACCAGGTTGCTGTTTTTCTTTTCATTTGTAAAATGGAGCGAGATTTTGCTTAGAGAATTATCACACAGAACACTTGCAGTAGACAGACCATGGAAGTTTAACAGAGTTAACTGTGACTTAGCTAACGGAGCACATCAAATTATGTCAATCCACGTTTAGTGTGCTTGATTTCTAATGTTTTTGGATAAAATGAGATCAACTCTTGGAGAAACGCCAGGTATGAACCGTCAGTCCGCACTTGTAAATTGACATCTAGTTCTTTACTCTCGCGGTCTAACAAGACAGCCGTAAAATGACTGAGACGAGAACCTGGGGGAGTTCACTTTTTACTACAGCTGAAACTAATGGTACGCTACAAAGGTGTTCGGTCTTTCGACAACCTGAGTATGATCAGCGTCCCAAGAAATCGAAACAGTACAGAGTCTATAGTACTGAGAGCTGGACTCGATTCTAAGACAATAAGATAACGATTCATACTAAAAAACACATTATCAAACCCAATCTCTTAGATCTTGCAATCAGGGTCTCTTTTTCTGAAGTAAGCTCCTATCATCAAAGATACATATCCAAATCCACTTTTCCTCAGCCATGGTTTTGGCAGGGTTAGGGAACATTTATTCTTCCTAACCATGCATCCTAGGATCGGGTTAATGAAGCTACACATTGTTGGGATGCAACAGGCTTCCAAACCCTCATTAAGTGTGCTGCTCGTTCTGAATATTTTCACAGAGAAAGCAGTCAATCGGCATCTGATTGTGTACGAAGCACATGCCCGACACCAGGAATGAGTGATGAAAGATGGGACCCTGGCCTTATTCATGATGGAATCAAAGAGGCTCAGGGCAGACCCCTTCGTCATCCCGAGCCCGAAGGCTGAGGACTCTCCCAGGGTTGGTCACGGCAGGGCACCTTCCCTCCAGATCCTTCGGCCCGTCTTAGGAACACTCCGTCACATGCCAGACACACTCGGTTTCGCCTCGTGACCTTCCCCCAAACTGGGCCCTCCTGACCCATTCTGAGCTCAGTCTCTTTTTTTTATTCCTACCTAAATAAACTCTTGAAGCCTCAGGTTTTAAGCCTATCTCATCTGTCAAGTCTGCCCAGGTCTTTTTCGGCTCAGATAGTTTTCCTCCTGGGAAGTGAACGTCAAGTATGGCAGTCACTTGCTCAGATTATCAGCACTCTCACACCTCTGTGACCTAGGCTAAGTGGCTTGACGTATCGGTGCCACGGTTTCGTCTCTCAAAAAGAGGTAATGCCTACTCAAAGGGAATTAATTATAAACTTTACATAAAGGACTCGGCACAGTATATAGCTAACATTCACTAAGTAACTACCGGTTATAGCAGTCATGCTTAAGATCTCTACTGCATAGTTAGTGCTTCCTGATCTGCTTCACTCATCATTAACTCATCCCCCTATTAGAGAACATAGTTCCCCTAAGCTGATAGCAGGGCATCAGGTGACAATGCTGGCTGCACGTAATCAAAGAAATAATGTATCTGACTTTTCTGGAAAAACAACACTAAAAGTATGAATGCCACCAAACACTGCCCCAGCTTCACCTGCGCATAGGGACTTGTCTTCCTTTTAATAAGCAAGGCAATCTATAGATAATAATAGGAGGGGCAAATACCATATTTCAAACTTACTTAATGTCTACGGCCATGCCACCCTGAACAAGCCCAATCCCATCCGATCTCGGAAGCTAAGCAGGGTCGGGCCTGGTTAGTACTTGGATGGGAGACCACCTAGGAAGGCCAAGTGCTGTAGGTGTTAAAAATAAAAAAAAAATAAAGGATTGTAAGCTGACAAGGTCCTTGCAATCTGTGAGGTCAACCAAGGGTTGCCTCGCCTAAAAAAAAATTAAAAATAAATAAATAAGTAAATAAAACTTACTTAAAACTCTTAAAAAATTAAACTTCTAAGACTACTGAAGCGGTTTAAGAGTGTCACATGATGGGGGAGGAAAATGCAAGGGGAGGGCAGCAGAATTCCGACTCCCACGTGGATTACGATGAACGCCATTTCCATCTTAATGACTTTAAAATGGAACACCCACCAGGATTTTGTTCTCACTCATCCTACATTCATTAGAGACAAATTACAGATTCAGAAAACTTCACATCTAGCGTCTAACTATTTAGAAGATGTTTTTTATCCAGGGGTAACAAGGAAATGACGGCCACACGAGTCCCGAAGGCCACACCTGAGGTTTCGCTTTAGCCTGGCTGATGCCAAACTTTAAGCCTAAAAAAAGAAAATTGCCGACTCCTTAAAACGCAGCTAGTTTGCATAAATGCAAGCACAGCATAGCAAGGGTCTGAAACCCACAGGCAAGATGACTATCTACGTACATAATAGTCACAAGAGACACAAATATCCTGGATTGGAATTTGGCTAAGCATATTTATTTTCAAGGCATGAACTACAAGTTATACTTTAAAAATAAAATTTCTAACTATGATCAATATAGATCACATGCTAAAGAGAGCCAACAGCCCAAGCACACCACAGGTCACCTTCAACTGTGAGCTCTTACTATATGTACCACGAAGGACATGCTGCCAACTAAAACTGGATGAGTCAACAATTGTAAGGCAACCCAACTTCAGAGACGTTAAAATATAACAACAACGGGCATCTTACAATGGATGAAATACAGAACCATTCTCCCCAGGTCTGCCAACTAGAATTTCAGGGAGTGGATTTTGTGAAAGCTGTGTGACTCCATTTAAAATGAGCCCTGAGACCTAGCACCATGTTGGTCACTAACAGAGCGTGACCTTTGTAAACCCTGAATTTCCCCGCTTGACACGGTTCGCATGTAAAAGCTAAAGACAGTGTCCAGAAAACAGTCTTAGCACAGAGCTTGGTGCTCAGCAGACACTCTTAATTTGTTCTCTTTCTTTATTTCATCCAGAAGTAGAACCTCTGGACATTGGATCTTCTTCCCAACTATCTCCTGGGTACCCCAAAACACATGTGGAGTGCAGTACAGTGTACGGAATATCCAGTCAGTACAATGAGAGAGATCAATAATGGTTCTTTTACTGAGGGGATGAGGACTATATAGCTAGAACATGGGCTTAAAATCCAGAATGCACCTGGAACAGGGCCTCGTGATGCTTAGGCTGTCACCCATGGTCTGACACGAGCAAGTCTGATAAAATGTCTGGACGTCTACATGTTCTGTATCATCTGCAAGCTCAACAGATATTCTAAGTCAGAAAACGACATTTAATCTCTCATTATCACCCAGGATTACAAACTTGAGTTCTGAATGCAAAGTGAAAAAAGAATTCAGGCATAGTTTCTTCAAAGAACATAAGTTTCACAGCTGTCGATAGCATACTTAGCAACACCAAAGAGATGTTTGAATTCTATTGACAAACGTGCACAAATATAAATACAGCAAAGCTCCAGGATAAATCTGAGACCTTGGCAAAGTCATCAGCTTAGAAGTAGGAGGCATCATCTTCCAGTGGTCTTGAGGAGCATTGGCTAAAAAAGACCAATTTTATAATACCGATTGTCAATTATAATTAAAAAATTAAAAATAAAATTTAAAAAAGATCAATTTTAACATATCTAATGGATGTGAGTGCTTCTGAAACCAAAACTACAAATGCTGTTATACCTTCTTTGAAAAACAGCACAAAATAATATGACTGTTACCTGTAAAAACTGGACAGGTATCGATTGTCTCATAAGGCTTGGGGACACCCACTGTGTGCAAGTAAAACGTTCCTTTGGGAATGAGAACCTACTGGTGTTTTCTGGGTTGATTTTCAGACCTTTGCTTTTACTTGTGTTTATCTCAAACTTGGTTAGACTCTGATAAGCTCAGGTGTAACACAAAGAACAAGCAGGAAAAGGGACATGTGTGCTCTGGAGGGCAGGGTGACGCGGCTAAGGCAGCAGGAGATGGCAGTCCCCTCTCACGCTCGCTTCTTGGGGTGAACACGAGAAACGCTTATGGAAGTTAAATCCGGGGCTAGGGACCAAGGCTGTTTGTCCGGCAGAAATACTCGAATATTAAGAAAGCTTATCGCTACAGTTCGATTTTAACTTGCATGTTTACCCACTTCTTTTATTATTGCTGGTGGAGATCAGAAAACGCATCCCTAAATGTTAAGCTCTTCAGGGCGGCAGTCAACTCTATGTGCCCTATATGATCAAGAGCAGGTGTTTTAGGCCAAATTTTAAGGGAAATAATCCCTGAAGGGCCGATGTACATAGAAAGAGACATTATACCAACAGCGAAGGTATGACCCTTCATTATAAAGACGTAGCCAACATCACCAAAGGGCTGTAGCTACAGGTTTATAATTTTTGGTAGCAGTGATGGCTCTGCACAGAAACATCACCACGCTGTTTTCCAAAATCATGCTTTTGTGAGACAACTCACACAAATCGATCAATGGTCTATACCCGATGCTTCAGAGACCACTCATGAATCATATGTCACACTCTTGTGACTTTAGTTTCAGTTGGTTGGGAGCCCAAACTGCATTTGATAGCTATAGCCCTGGTAAGAAATGATTAAACGGCTTTTGTCCAATTTAAAAAAAAAAAGATGAACTTCACTCTAGATGGTAGGTATTGTCTATAGTCAAGGTTATCCCTTTAAGAGAGTCAGAGCTGATTCAAAAAAGAAGGTTCAAGAAAAAGAGCACCACTGGATTCAGCCAATAACGTTTTAGGGAATTCACTCTGAACAAGACAACCGTCACTTAAATTCAGATGTTCTAGTATGTTTCTTCCTGAAGCGAGCTGTAACAAAGAATCTGTTTCCATAAATACAAGTCATGTCGTCCTTATGTATTAATTCCATCACATATGCACCAGGATTTGTTAAACCATAATGGTGACAGAAGTACCAGATGATTTTTAAAATAAATCAAATAATCAAAATTAGATTTTTTTAAAAAAATTATTAGTTTCAACTCCTTTTCAAACTTAAAGTGTACCTCTTTAACACAAGTGAAGTTGGACTTAAATTCCCTGTCTGCAATTTCGATTTCTGTGCGATTCTTAGCGAGCAAAAAAGTTGCTAACCCAAGTGAGGAAGGGAAAAATACAAGACTCTTAGAAAAACCCATCAACTGGTAAAATCATAAAAATGGTTACAATTATGTAAAATAACAGTACATATTTAAACTTAGTGAAAACATGCTCTCAGTCTCTTAGACTAAAATTTTGTGAAGAAATCAATAATAAAATCCAAGTTGTCAATTCTTGAATTCTATAATCCATATAACTGTGTTGAACACTTTTCAGGAAGATGCAATAGTATAATGTTTTATAACAGGCAGATAATTCTCATTAGAGCATCTTCATTTGATTTTGGTACAATTTTCTTGGCCTTAGAATGAAGAGTTCTCTAAAATATAATCTTCTATGCATTTGGGGACCCCTTAGGCACTTCAAGAAGACACTTTAAAAATGACACCAAAAAAACAGTATCAGGGAACTATTTTAAAATTAATTACCTATATTAATTGCAGTTTCTTGCTTGTCGCCTGTCAACACCCATATTTTAATTTCTGCCTTCAGCAGAGTTGCTATAGTTTCTGGAACACCTGCTTGAAGGCGGTCTTCTATGGCTGTGGCTCCGAGTAACAGTAAATTCTAGATGAAAAATACCTCTGATTAAAGTTTGGTATGTACGTAAGAGCAGCATTTATGACGAAACCCCGATGAAAGAAAGGTAGTCACAGGGTTCTGAGACAACCACCTTATTTCCTCCTCATTAAACCTTTGTTTGCAGAAAATTAATAACATCTAGATGTGTGGCATCCCAAAACCACTCGCAGTGTGAGAACCTCTCCAGCCACGTGAGCAACCCAGTACTCATCGTTCATTTTTGGTCCACAGGCACGTTGGGACAAAAGTCACTGGCAGTTGAGCACTCGGGCGGGTTATCCTGAGGGTATTGATAGTGCCTTAGCCCGTCCCTTTCACTCCACAAACGATCAAGTATTATGTTACAGTTCGCACAAGAAGGACTGATTCAGTGCTGAGAAGCTGACCTCATCTGAAATTGAATCAACTGGTGAGGAAAGCCACCCCATACACCTGTGCACGTCACCGATTCAACCTCTTTTCCGATTCTAAAAGGAACTTTGGATATTTCCAATAAAGCAGGGCAAATAAACACTTGAATTCAGTTCTGCTCTTACCCAAATTCCATTAAAATGATAAACAAGTGAGTATAAAACTCAAAAGCTGAGTATAAAAAAGCAAAGCGGAAATAAAAACACATACACACACACAAAGGAATAAAAACAAAAAGCAATCAAGTGATGACTTCAGAGGTATAAGAAACTGAAAACTGGATGGACCAATGGTTGCTGACAGGACACAGAAAAAGGCGAAACCCAGCACCAAACCAAAACTTAATAACTACCCTGCATTGCAGTTTCAGCCTCTCACTGCAGTGGAATCTGAAACCAGTCAGTCTGGAATTTTCTGATCAATATGAGTGAGGCGATCTGCCTGATAAGACCCCCTGCCATTCCCTTCCTCACAAAAGAAGTTGACCTGGACCAAGAAGAATCTTTTCTTTCTTTTGGCTAATAATTCCCCGGCCACACCCTTCTGCCTTTAAAAACCTTCCATCTGTACAATGCCTCAGAGCCCCATTCTGGTTGCTGGATGGGGTGCTGCCCCAATCACAACCTGCTTAAGCAAGCCAATTAGATCTTCAAATTTACGAGGTTGCATTTTGTTCTGTAACAGAGGGAATCCAATATATAGAAAGCTAATGTCTTTAGGTAAATGGAAAAGAATAACAACAAAAATCAAAGTAGGCAATATGGAGTAGCAGTGGCAAAGCTTAAAAATTATTAGATTAAGTAAGTGTGAAATTCTCAGTATGTATAACACTAAGTATATCTGGCCAGCTTACGAATTCTGATTGCTCCTGTAACTCAACAGAATGAGCTAATCTTTTTAAGCCTATTCTGAGGCAATCCCAGAAAGTCACTGAGGCTGTTTTTGACCTAAAACGTCTTAAGATATCATTTAGCTGAGGGTGGCTGGATCTCAGATAGCTCATAAAAACTAAGTGTCTCTTAAAGCGAAGAAAGAAATGATTAAAAGCAAAAGCTCACGAGAAAAGAGAACATCACTTTATAGGGAAAGGATTCCTGCTCTGAGTCATCGACTGACGGGCGGTGACGCCTCTCCTCAGGCGGCAGTACCTTCTCGATGATCTCGTAACAGGCCTCCAGCCGCTGAGCTCTGTCTTTCAATATGGTGCTGGCTTCTTGATAGACTTCCAGCCACTCCTCATAATCCTTCTCTGAGAGGTCAGCGTAAGCCACGCAGAGAGTCCTCAGGCCTGCAAAACAGCCACAGAGGCACGCCACGCCATGCGGCTCCGTCGTATATACCAGCATGCTCAAAAAATCTGAAGGAACCAACGCGTTTTAGGTCGCTCTAATTCAACTTTCAGACACTGAACGAGGGAATTTTAAAACAGCTCTAGTGTCTTTTAACAATAGAGTTGTTTTAAAGCTGCCTCTTCTGCAACTCCGAGTACAGGAGGAGCCATGAGAGGGGACTTCCTCGGCAGAGGGGCCCAGGAGCGGTGCCCGGTCCACGCGCAGACAGACAGCGGCAGGTGTCAGCAGGCGGAGGCGGCAGGAAGCACGTTTCAAGACGGCAAGAGAAGCCCAATGTGCTACCATGTGAAAGATCCAGACTCGAGCAGCCATGTCTGTGTGTGTGTGTGTGTGTGTGTGCACGTGTGCACATAAATGCACACGTGTAGTCACAGGAGCACGTGACAGGAAAGCGGCAGTCAGCACTTAAGGCTCCAGCTTTTATCCGTGTCGTTTAAAGCCTTTCAGAGAACTGCCTTCCTCGTCTTTCTCTATGAGTTCAGTGACTTATTTCCTTAAGTCGTTAGCTTCCTCTGTGCCACTTCTACGGAGTAAACTTTACACTGTCGTAGGATAACGAGAGAGAGACGGGAAAATAACAACACGGGCTCTCCAAGAAAGGGGGCCGTAACTGCGAGCTGATCCTACGTACTGTGACCTGGCCTGCCTTCTGCCTCTGCACTGCAGGGAGAGAGTTAACAGTCACATGCAGGTAACTGAGATGGACTGTGCCACGCATCTCGTCACTGCCACCGGCACAGAATGTGACGGCTGGGGACGGGGGCTGGCGCTAGAAGAGCACACTCCTACCAAGCCAGGTGAGCACAAACATGACGTGTCTTCAGAACGCGACCGCCTACCCAAGCTCCAGCCACGGGCCCTTGAAACTACAACATCAATGGTTAAAAATAACATTTCCAAATTTCGACTCACCTTCCGTGGCAAAATATTCCAGATGGCATAACGTTTCCTCCATGTATTTTGAATCTTTTGAAAGTCTCTCAAAAATTACATTATCCTGTAAAATAGGGAAACATGGTGACTGACACGTCCTTGAGAAGAGCTTCGGGTCAGCACTGCCAGCGTGGCTTCGTGTCCGTGCTGTTCACTTTGCGTGCGTGAGACAGCTTGAGCGGGCGAGTAGAAGCTGAGCTCTTGGCTGACGTCAGTCAGGAGTTTGGAAAGCGAACCGGGCATGGAGGCATCAAAACGAAAGCATGTTGGGGAGGACCACAGGCATCAATCAGGAGAGTCAGGGAGCCCAGGGGCGCTGCCTTCACCCGAATCTGCAAAGCTCATACCACAGTTTATAACGTCTTTTTGCAGAAGTGGGGAGGGTGAAACACACATCCTATATTGTTCGAGCACATTCTTGCTTCCTGCCGCGGTCAAAGCTCTCAACTAGGGCGGGTTCGACCCCCTAGGCACTGAACCCAGGTGAGTGTGACGACTCATCACCCGGTGACGACTGCCATGACCGACAAGCAGGGCTGGGGGACCGGATGCCACAGGTGATCCACCAAATATGTTATAAACAGTACAGTTTTAGGACACTGAATTTTTCTTAATAGAAATCTAACTTGGTTGGGGCTGTGGGGGTGGGGCGGACGGTCAGGCTGAAGAGAATTAAATCCTATAATTCCTACTGCAGCGTTCCTGTATTCACGCCGTTTACAGTCACAGCCTTCCTCTGCGCCACCCCCACATTGTGCCCTTTTGTACTTTCTGTGGTACTTAGGACACAATGGCAAATAAACAAACAAAAAGTTTAAAAAGCATGTCACGTGAGGACATAACCTAGGTGACCCTGATTTCTGTTGTCACTATAAACGCAGAATTCTTTAATGGGTTCAGATAGAATGCATTTAGACATCACATGCACTACTCATTTTTTCAAAGCTCTAGTCACAGTATATTCAAATAAGGCCATGTTTCTTCCCACAATTGATAAAGATTAGTAAGATTTTCAACCAATCATGATCCTAGTATGTAGCTTCATCTTTCTGACACGGTCTCATAAAATGAGCTTAATAATTCTTTCCCTCAATGCATAACGTCATAATTTAACAGGATATAGTTTTGTAAGTTAGGCTTATTGGCAATAACATCTTTTCTTAAAGATAATATGTTTAGATTTGATTCCTGGGAGGCAGAAAGGACAAAAAGCCAGACCCAGGAAACTGACCAAAGGGGGCAGTAAAAATGTGGCCACAAATGGACATGACCTTCATGCCTGTTGCATAGCGCTCTGATGAGTAAAAATATAAATCATAAAAATTGAGAAGAACAGCTATTTTAAGTACTCGGAGAGGTGGATATAGCTCTCTATGTAGACAGATATATAGATATATAGATAGATAAATACCTATATCTATCTCTCAGGGTACTTAAAAGAAGATTGTCACAGGTCAAAACCATTTACTTTATCTTCCCAAAGTCACCACCACTGTGTGAATCTGGAACCAGAACTCACACTCCAAGGATTCCCCATGACACAGCGAGCTTCTGTTTCTGAAACCAACCGCTGACTAAAAGCAAGCTTTCCACGCACCGTCTCTGCCACCCCGGCTCGAGCCATCATTACCCAAATTGATTGGCCGCAAACCCGAAGGAGCCGTCCAACCTCGGGCAAACTACCAGGGACAGGGAATGAATGACAGGGACAGCAGCTGGGAAAGGCAGCAGCGTCCGCTGGGCCGGGCTCCCAGCCAGTACTTACGGCCCCTTTGCAGTAGAGCCGGAGCTGTCCCGCGGGCGTTCGGACAATCACAGACATCCTCTTTCTGTTGCTGTAAGAGTGAAAAAAAGGAAAGTCGTCATTGGTCTGTTTTATCGGACCTGCGTCCTTTGATTAAACAGCAAAGAAATCGGAAGGTGAGCTGGCAGGCCCCAAAATGAGCAAGTTCCGTTTTTCCCTATTTTCCCCTCAAAGTCGGACTTTAATTGTACACCTCCCGCTCTTTTTATTTACACATCATGTACACACACCTATTCCTTTCCCTGCCGTAGAAACAAAGTGGTATAGCTATTTATAGAAGAGACAGGAACAGAGAACTTAAACATCTACTGTGAGCATCTGACTCCCTTCTCATGATGCTCTGTAAAAGAACTTTCCTTCATTGTGCAGCTCGGAAACAAGACGTAACCTGCCCAGTAAGTAGCAAAGTGGGAAGCTTTGCTATGAACCCACTTAACTCAAAAGCCCCTCGTTGAGTCTTCCTCTCGCCGGGGAGGAAAGAAATGAGCAGTCAGCGCTTCTCTCCCTAGTCCAGCAGGGACGCTGCCTTCGTCACCTTCCGTCAGGACCCACCCGCACTCAGGGGACCTTCCATGGCTCCCCACGGTCTCCGGATTCCCCTCCCTGCTGACCCCGCCCCCTGTGCAGCCTCACCTGGGCCCCCACCGACCCCTCCTGCAGCGCCAGGCCTTAAGCTCACCAGAAGACCGACCACTCTCCTCTCGTCCTTCCTTCCATTGCAAAATCTCTTCCCCCCGAAACACGTCCCAGCTGCAGTGGGCCTCAGACCCCCCGGGAAGGTCATTTCCAATGGACTGCCCGTTCCAAAGAGTAGGGGACATTCTCTCTCCAGCTTTGTGTCCATTCCCGCATCCTAACGCACAGCGCTGTCTCTGACCTGGACTGGAATCCTCTCTCAGCTACCCTTTGAGCAAAGTTATTCGTCTCGCATTTCAGTGTCTGTGTAAAGCAGGGCTGACACCAACTACTTCAAAGGAGTGACTAAGTGGCATCTGGAAAAAGATGAGTCGACTAAAACAAAAAAGAACCACGAATGACTTTTTTGTTCCCTCTCACTCTCCCATGAGAATTGTTTTTAATACATCCTCACGTCTCCATCCATATTCACCTGTTTTTATCCAACTCTCTTCTCTCCGCCTCTTCCTTCCAATAATAACTGCCGGTTCCAGTTAATGAAGCCACACAACAGCACACGGTTTCCGGGACATCAACAAAAGCTGGGGCATGAAACGTCTGGAGAGATGTTTGCTGTGTGCCTCACCTCCCCCCCACACAGAGACCCCGTCCTCTGCTCCCCACAAGAACTATTATCAACCCTCTCTCTCTCTCTCTCCTCTTGGACACTCAGCCCCAAGGGCTCCTGACCCACCAAAGTTCAAGTTCACCATCCCAACACTAACGACTAGAGCTGGAAAGCACTTCCTACGAGAGGGTGAAAAAACTCATCTTTTTCAAGTAGCTTTTAAAGCAGACAGAGCAAACAATGTGGAGGTCATTTAACAAAGGTTACTGAAAACCCCACCTACTTTTAAGAATAAGAAAAGATGCTTTCGAGACGGCAACAGAACCTTGCTCTAGTATAGACAATTCAGTGTTAAGGAGGAAGAAAAATCCAAAACGTTAAGGTATTGTTTATGACAAACTATGAAGCACCTAGGGAAACAAACAATCTAACAATTATTCCCAGGTCTTATATTAAATAAACTACACTGGGAAAGACTGAGTTCAGATACATACAGGAGAACTGGCCGCCTCAGACCAGGCCTCTAATGGGATGATCTGATCTCATCTACCCTCATTTGTCAGTTTCTCAGACCCTGCATAGAGTGCCCGGATGGACGTGGGAAGAACCAATGGAAATAAGGGACCTCAAACACTGTAGACGTGTCTGTGGCTCCTGACAGAGGACATCTGGTTAGGGAAATCTATAGAAAATGAAGGATATGAGAGCACAACATTTCATGTGGAAAAAAAATTTTTTTTTTTTTACCTATTTCTCTTTCTTTAATGAAACCTATAAATTCCAGGGAGAAGAGGGCTTGTGGAGATATATTTACTATATTTAATACTTACGTTCTATATTTAATCACACCGTCAAGCAAACACTCTGATGACGCTGTTACACATATAATTTCAAGTACGTGAAAGAGAAACATACCTAGAAAATTCCAGGACATTAAGGAGTCCAAAGGTCTGTTCCTGTCCCATCTAGAGAAAGAAAATCAGGCTCTTAGCTGAGATGCGAAGTATTAAAATCTCAAAGCAACTGTCTCCCCGTTATACACCTCCCCACGGCCACACCTGTCCCCCTCCCCCTCGCCCTCATTCTCAGGGCCTAAACGCCTTTTCAACCACCTCGGTTTCCTAGAAGTCAGTCTGGTGGGGTCAGAGCTCCCCCTTCTGGTAGAAGCTCTGCATTTTTCTCCAGTTAGTTTGGAGGTCATAAAAGCCGGCTGACGAGGACACTTTCAAGACATGAAAACAAAAGGTGCCAGCTACACAGGTCCCTCTGAAAGCTTGGGGCCAGCTACACTTCCGCATTCAGAACTTCATGCATTTTTCAGAAGCATACGCGTACACCGTAACGTCCCCGGGGCAATGCTCTGTAACAGAACGCATCAATTTTCTTCAGCAAAACATGTGACTATTCACACTAAGTGTGATCTGTAAAGACCATAAACAGCCTCCTGTCACTTCTGGTTAGCTTTAGCTGCCAATCTCTATGCCCCAAGTTTAGCAAAAAACTTGAAATTCAAAACTTCTTGGATTTGGGATTTGAAAATAAGGAATTATGAATCTGCCATCAGATGTTATGGCAATTAATGAAACATCCATTTGTTCAGATTCCTCAAAGTTAGAACCTCAACGCTCTCAATTTTTTTCCCAGACTATTCCAGATCATGTATGTGCCATTTTCAAACTTTTTAATTAAATCTCGTCTCTATTTCCCCAACACATCACAGTGGAAAGGACGTGGGCTTTAGAGTTCAAACCCAGTTTCTGCCACTACATGTGTGCCTTTCTTAGGAACGGTGATAGCACCTGACCCCTGGGTTTGACAGAAGCAATTACATGAAGCGACATGCAAATTACCAAGTGTGTGACTAATACACCACAACACGGAATAATCGTTATTGTCCCATCCACACTCCCCGCCCTGTCTCTTTACATCCTAAAACACAACTAATGACCCACTTAATCCAGCCTGTAAGGGCTTTCGTTCTCTTTCTGCCACCCCCAGTTTCCTTTCTCCTCAGTCCTCTCAGCTCTGTCACCTCCCAGTGCCCACTGTGTCAACCCTGACCTCGGCACCAGAGCTGTGACGGCCAGGAGCTGACCCCCTGCACCATCGCCATATTGGCTGCTCCCACGGGCAGCCCATCGACTCAGCTGTGAAGATTATATGGCAGGCCACGTCATGTAAACAGCTGGCCACCAACTCAAGAAATTTGTGGTTTTGACGCTACCCCAGTATTAAAGATTGAACAGCATTTTGAAAGGTATCGTTATTTTTGAATCGTAATTAATGAGTCCTCTATACTCCACAAAATGTGGCCTTAATTGTTTAGTAAAATGACCCAGTGGTGCCAGTCCACTTCTCACCGGGTCTAATGCCACGATGACGAGGTCGACTGGCTCCCTAGCTTCCCCCGATTTATCCGGCACTGTGAGCAAAGCAGAGGCAGCCACTGTCCCCTTGTCTCCCCCACCAGCCACACGCCCTCCCAATCCCCATCGCTGCGTGTCGAGGACAGCAGCCCTGTACAGCTGAACACCCCGCATGAAGGTTAAAACAAGTCTCCTCCAACTGAAGGGGAGGAAGACTTCACTCAGGAACAGCTTCTGTGGAGGAAACGCTACCGTCAGTCAGGACTTTGTTCCTCTCTGACTGACTGCACACTCCCCTAAGCTGAGTTCCCTCTGCTGGTTGAAGAAGAGTAAAAGTAAATATGAGCTGATCTCTGTACTCCATTAAAAAACAAACAAACAAACAAACAAACAAACAAAAAAAACCCCACCGAAACTGAAAATGCCAAGAAATGGGCACTTTGGATAAGGTATGATATTTTATAGGTTTTGCATGTAAGTAAAGGAAAAACGGACTACCACCGGGTCAGGAACGCCTTCAGGTTATTATATAAGCTACAAGTGAATTTCTAATGCATTAAAGAGGCGTAGGGATTTAAGGATGCGTAAAGAAAAAACTCGCAATCATCTGTGAGTCCTTCCCAAACTGAGGGGCGAGAAAGGCAGAGGAGAGAGAAGGCCGCGAGCACCTCCAGACCCTCATCGACCCAGACTGCGGGAAAACGCGGCCCCTCTCACTGGTCATCTCGGAAAACACCAGTGCCCTGCCAGTCCCGATCAGCAATTCCCCCCACTGCCCTTCTCAAGGGTCCCTCTTTGATCTTATTCTTGAATTAAATGTTTTCCCATCACCAAATTTCTCCCTCAGCCTTCCTGACAGGAAAACTAAGAGGAAAAAAAAAATCATAAAACAAACTCCTGGACTCCAGAGAAAAGAAAAACTCACGTATATTTAAAAAAAAAAAAAAAAGAAAAAAAAGACCCTAAGTGCTAACTCCTTTCTCTCCCAGACAAGGAGACGGAAGCCGATGGACCAAGGGCCCCACGAGTGAGAATGTCACCGGGGCTGCGGAGACAGAGCTGCAGGCCGTGCCCTCAGAGCGAGGGGGACCTTACGGAACGAAGTGGACACCTCGGAAGCTCTTAGCTGCAAATAATGCCGCGTTGACTCTAAGAGAGAAAAATGACTGCGATGCAAAAACAACGCGAATGAACTAATGTGATCGCAAACATCCTCGGTTTTTCAACAGCTCCAGTTTCTCACTGACAACAAAATGGGCGTTTAGCTACCATACTGACAACGGACACACTACTCCAAATACATCGCCTTCAAAAAAGTCGGCGCGTGACTCACAGCTTCTATGATGACCGAGTAGGGCGTCCTGGCCGTGAACACGAAGCCCAGCTTCTTAGCGCCTTTCACCAAAGCAGCTTCATCTGTCAATCGAGAGTTGACGAAACATTGACTAACCACTGGCACTGACAGAATTCGGCTTAGCGAGTATTATTCTTTAATTAACCAACTCTGCCCCAGCTGAGGAGGACTGTCCTCGGCAGTGAGGACTCGGGCACTCAGCTCACTCTTCCTCCCCACCCCCTACCCAGGACATGATGGAAGCAGGTTGGTTAGAGGAGAAGGCACAAGCCCAACACTAATCCATGGGGACGAGAGTGATCACGAACCGACTATTCTCGGTCAGGGTCAAGTTCTCGAACGACCTTAAGCGATATTCCCATGACTTTCTGACTCAGCCTCCTCTCTGAGCCAGGAGATGTTTTTTTATCCACACTGTGGGGTCCACAGAGCGCCAGGCATGGGTAAAGGCTCCATGACACAGTTTTGCCCATGGGCGGAAGATCCATGAGGGTTTGGGGGTGAACTGTCCCCGGACGGCTCTGTCTAACGTAACGGCTGCCGCTAGGAAATGCAGGATGGCCCGGGCCACCTCTCACTGTCAGGGTCCCAGGAGTCAGGAGGACCCAGCTTTCTGCAGTTTTAACCCTTGCAGCCACAGCTCGGTAACTACGTGAGGCCAGAGGCAAACGGTGGGGTCTCTGTGGGACAGGCTGCGCCGCTACACCTCCCGCAAGTGACAGCAAACCCCCAAGTCTCCAGAGAAGGGGACAGCCCGGCACATCCCGCCACATCCCGCCAAGAGGCCTCACCTGGGGAGGAGGCCTGGTAGATGATGCTGTCGCCATTCTTCTCGGGAACGACGGTGTGGCACACGGCCAGAAGGGTGAGGAACTCTTGTATACAAGCAGCTGTGGGCTACAAACGGGACACCGAGTTAATCCATCTGTGACCACAGCGCTGGCACGCGTCAGAGCCGGGCCTCTGTGGGACAGTCGGTCACCTGAGAAGGCCGTCATGGCGTCTCTTGGGGGGGAACCAGGAGGCAGCGAGTGCCCCCCGGCGCCCCGGCACCCCGCCTCACGTCACGCGCGACGCCTCGGACACCCCTGCCACCCCCAGGCTGCCTCCCTCGTTTTCGCAAGACCCGAGAGGGCGAGCCGGGCGCCCGCCCTCCTCACGGACGCGCGCCCAGGCCGCGCAGCCAGGACGCGCGCAGACCTACGTCGCTTCGCCGCGGCGAGGGCAGCGCCGCAAGCGTCGGGCTCCGTCCCGTCTGCTCCCCAACCTCATGGCCTCCTGAAACCTGCATGCCAGCGCACCCCTCACCCTCCACTTTGTCTACAGAACAAAACCAGAATCGTCCTGGGTATGCATTTAATACATTTCTTCGTCCTCCCCACCTCCCCCGCCACACGAAATGCTTACACTTTTGCATTGGGATTAGACTATATAGTTATAATTAGTGGGAAAGTGAGGTTTTAATACCGTCGCCCCATCTAAGAATACAGTATGTGTTGCTATTTATTAAAGCCTTCTAAATGTGAGTCCTGGCATATTTTCATTCATGAACCGATTATTAATTTATTAATATTAATAATTTTTATTCATTCAAAAAATATCTGCATGCCTACTATGTGTGAGGCACTGTCCTAGTACTTCATTGCTTTTCGTGTTATGAATATAATTTTCTTTCCATCATATTTTACAAGAATTTACCGTCAATATGTAAGTAAAAACATTGAATTTTATAAAATTTAATATCCAACTATAACTGACCTCTTACTAGCTCTATGAGGTGCACTTGACTCTCACAGGTTTTCAAGGCAGGCAATTACATCATCTACAAATGACTACTTTTCTCTCTCTTCCTCTCCAATATGTACACTTGTTTAGTTCTGCAGGATCTAGCTCTTTTAGAATGATGTTCGAAGACAGAGGTGACACCGGGTTTCCTTGTCCTGAGGTGATTTCAAATTCACTGTCTTTAATGTTTCACTTTTAAATAAGCAACTGACTATAAGTTTGAGATAGATTTGTATTTTCACCTTCAGGAAACAACTCTGTTTGCTATTTTTTGTGGAGTTAGTTGTGGAGTTAGTTCTTTTCTCTTTTTTTTTTTTTTTTTGTTTGTTTAGTCATGAATGAACAGTGACTAACATTTTAAACATTTTTAGTTTCTCATCTGACCTGTTCATGTGTTAAGAGCAATTAATTGGAAGCAGATCACAACCGTTCACATGGCTGCTTGTCATCGGCCTTCTGCATCTGAGAACTAGCGAGTTCTGCGCATCAACTTGTCCCATGATGAAATGACACGAAAGAGCGGCTTTGGTTTTATGGCAAATAAATGTACTTAACAGTGAAATGTTTTGAGGGTCATAAAAGATTGCATACATACTTGAGTTAAATTTCTACCTTGAGTGGTAGGCCAGACAAAATTCTTAAAGATCAAAAAGTATCCCTAAGACAAAATTAATCCACCTTTGGATCTCTGCTTAACCTGATATTCAACGAGGAGAAAGCGATGAACTTAATTTGAAGCCTATGGATAAGATGATTTTAATATATTTAGACAAGTGCTCCCTATTTGAAAATAAACATTTTTCTGTAACTTCCAAGAAGAAAAATATTTTATAACTTCCAAGAACTGACTGTTTATTGGAGAATATATGTAGGTGTGTGTGTGTATGTGTCTACACACACACACACACACACACACACACACGCACATATATACACATGTACATATATGTGTATATATATCTTTTTAGACATTAAAAAATTATAGAAAATATGCATATAATATTTACCATTTTAGCCATCTGTAAGTGTACAATTCAGTGGCATTAAATACATTCACAATGCTGTGTGCCTATTGCCACAATCTATACCCAAATCTTTTTCATCTTCCCCCAAAACACTGTATCCATCAAACAGTAACACTCCATTCTCCCTCGCCCCTAACCCCTATTCACCTTTATTCTTCTCTGTGTCTATTCTAGGTAGGTCATATAAGCCAAATCATTCAATATTTGTCCTTCAGTTAACAGATTTTGACCTGCACAAAATGCTTTCTATATTAAAAATGAGTATTTTCGATTTACTTGATGTGCGTAAAAAATAGCAGAAAAATCGTCTTGCATTCCAATTAGCAGCTGCAAAGTATATAAATAATATACATATACAAACAATTTCTTCTTGAAGACTCAAGCTCAAAAGTCCTGGGCATAACGATTCAAAAGAAAGTTTGTTCTTTCTTGGCAAATCTTTGAGAAATTGTCCCACAAATAAGGAGTCACTGATTAGCAATATAGTTAAGGGACCACATGAATTATTCCTTGAAATTTTCCATAGTTGATTCTCTCAGAGGCAAATTCCATCTTGGCCTTCAGCCCACACAAAGCTAAAACGCAGTCCTGAAGGACCCAGAAAATCAGCAATGATGACCCAGGAAAAACAAATTCTGTAGCAGATGTGAGTACTCTCTTGGACTGTAAGGTAAGGATCTTCCTGGTTCAAATGCTTTAATTTTAGTCAATGGTCCCAAGACAATTTAGATAAGAATGCGGGATATATCTATAGGCTAAAATCCTAAAATGCTTCTTCCCTCTCTTCAACCATATTTTGGCAAAATAACCAAGTGATCTAACAGGCTCTGTATTTAAAATGTTTAAAAACATCCATTGAGTACATTTAATTCAATCCCACACCTTCTCAAAGAAAAACATTGGCACCTACAGCCTTTATTATTTCTAGTTGAACTAGATGCGAAGCATCAAAGGGCTTAATCAATGCAGTAACCAGGATGAAGCAGACCTCAGAAGGCTTCAAGGATCCAGGAAATCTTTTTTAAACAACAACAACAACAACAACAACAACAACAACAACAACAACAAAACGCTCAAGATAGGGCAAGTATGCTTTTACTAAAAACCAGAAAATAAATTCCTAATCTATGGCCTCATTAAGCATTTAATGAATGGTGAGTATCCAGATTATTAAAACACCCTTTAAAAAATCCTCGTGTTTTCATCGATAATCTCCCTACGTTAAGGCCTTCCTTTTTACTCCCTTTTCGTCAGGGCTGCATCTGCCCCTTCTCGCATGGATTTTCTCGCTACAAAAGGGGATTTGGCTCGGGAGAGGCGAAGGTGAGGAGGAGAGCGAGGAAGGAAAAAGGAGTTCATTAACTTCTCTAACAGGTTTCTTCAAAAAAGCACGCCGCCGACCACGGGACAAGAGACGCTCATTAGGGGATCCTCATCCAGGCCCGGTCTCCATTCAGATGTCGACAGAGGACAGGCTCGAGAGCACGTGATCGATCGATGGTCAAAAATCCCCTCCAACATGCACCTCGTTCAGATGCAGGTTCAGCTTCGAAGATGACATCTGTACACGAACGCGAATGAACTGAGCCAAGTATCTCGAGTGTCCAAACGCTGGGATCACAGCAGCAGCCGGGGCAGGGGCCTCCGAAGCCTCTCTTCTTCCAAGGACAATTTGCCCGGGCCGCTGGGTCCTCTGTGCCAGCTCACACGGAGGCCCGTGAAAACACTGTTCAGTGCAAGCGGCCATGCTGCCCACAGCTCAACAGTTCTGGCCGCCAGAACACCCAGCAGAGGGACCGAACTCCTCTGTCTACACAAAACAAAACTGCTTTTCCGGGGAGTCACGTCATGCCTAGTCCTATGATGCAAAAGTATGCGATGGCTCTTAACGATTTTACATGTCTATTTCTCCAATTAATAGAAATCCGTTGTGTGTTTTTTTATTCACCTCTTCCCCCAGGACCTAGCAGAGTGTTTGATAGAAACTAGGCCCTTAAACTGATTGCTAAATGAATGAATAAAAGAGTCTCTCATTTAAACAGGGATCCAGTAGTTTGCTGCCAACACTGTACCACGCTCAACACTGAAAACGCTTCCTCTGCTGCGTTTTCACCTGTCGATCTATGCTAGGAAAACAAACTCTCCGAAACTAGCCTAAGGTCAATTTCCTAAGCCTCTCTGTCATCCTTCCACGTTCTCCTTTCCCATTCACCATCCCAGCTTGAACGGACACATTCGGTCGACCCCCTTCGTGACTACCTTCAACCTAAATACGACTCGAGAAAACCCGAGTCCTCTTTCAGCAAGCGAGGCCCCACAGTGCACCTGTTTCTCTGACATCCTTGATCAAAACTACGCTCCTCCAGAGAAGCTTCTTCTCAAACGCCATTCTTCTGCTTCGAGAACCTCTAGCCTAGAGGCCGGGTCTACCTCTAAGGTCAAAATCCAAGAAAGGACCGCATCGATGTCTGTGACCTTGACAGCCTCAGCGCCACTTCATCAGCATCACTAGGGTGGAAGCAGAATGCCAGCACCCCAGACTGCGGACATGGGTGCCACTCACACTCACATTTGAGAACAACTGTTGGGAAGGTTTTACCATTAACTAACGGGTGCTAATGAGAAAAGGAAACTGCCTTGCTGAAAACTCGGAGAAAGTTTTACACATATCTCGCTCTTAACCATATTTGGGAGAGATCTAATTTACTAAAAAAAAAAAAAGTTTTAATTTTGTTCAAGTTTACCTAATTTTAAAACTCAAATGCTTTTCAGAAAGAAAATTAATAATATTACATCTAGTTTATATAAACTAAAGTGGTGGTGAGATGCTTGATCTCGAATACTTTTCTAAGTTGCTATTTTTCAGAGGATGCTCTTTAAAACATGGATTTATGCGATGTAGCAGTTAATCCTGCTTTGTTACAATAGTTAAGAACCAAACAGACTTAAGATATGAGTCTCGTTTCTACGTTTGTTTGCTAGGTTAACTCTTGGCCACGTCGATCTTTCCATGCAATAACCTCTCTGGCATGACACAAGGGCTAAAGGAAATGCATGTCAAATGTTTGGCACATAGTAGGATGCTATAAACGTTACATGTTATTATACTTCACTTTTGTTTCCTAAATGATCCTAGTCAAAGGACATCGCAATCATTTTTCAAAATACATGACCTCTTAGACTCACAACTCTGAAGAAACAGTACTGCAGAAATCTTATGTAGAAAGCAACAGAAATCTGAAATGTTAAAATGAGAATTGTATGGCAGGACTTGTCTTAATGTGCTACTTTATAACTTCACCACATATATAGTTCAGCTTTATATTAACTTATGGAAAGTGTTAACCACAAAGCATTTCTTTAAGATCACATCTCTAAGGTGCTAACACTGTAAAAGTGAGACAACGTCTCTCTCCCAGCCTCCAAAATTGCAACTTTCAAGATTCTACCCACTTACATAGATAAAAGTGCACCATACACTATTTAATGTCCTAGAAGCAAATGGTAGCCTTACGTGATGATCCTCTATGTTCTTCAAGAGCCTGGGATCATCAAAGTCACATGAATCACTAGGGGGACAAGACATCCGGCTGTCAGAGAGAACAGAAAATATTTATTCAGTTCAAAAGTTCCTTTAAGATAACTCAAACCTAGTAAGAATCTGTCTTCAAGAAGAACCACATCCAAAAAACCTATAGATTTATATTAAACTTTTAAACATCTGGAGTATTGCATGTTATTTCAAACCTTAAGACAGGAAATCTTTAACCTTACTATAAAATATTTTATAAGTTATTATGACCAACAACATAGTCACAAGGACAAGGAGAAGAAACAGACGCAGAGATCAACATCGTGACTTGCTCGTTTTAGTTGGTCTCTGTGTAACTTCTATCAGGAAAATCTTCCTAGAAAACCTGCACAAAACAGGTAAAATAGAGAAACTACTGTATTGTAGTTATGTGATCATTTATGGCCAGGGCTCAGGCGTAGGAGAGAGAAGGAAGGAAGGAAGGAGAAAGGAAACTTGACATTATGGCTGTGTACAATCACCCCGAAGAAAATGTGAAGAGTTAAGTATATTCATGTATCTCCACTCCTTCTCGAAAGCCTTTCTTCAGAACAACACCTGAAGAAGAGACAATAGCACAGCAGATGTCAGTCTGAACTCTGAGTAGATACCAGAGTTGAGTGCAGCAGAGAAAACAGACACCAGTAGCTTGCAAAGTGAAATGCTGAAATGCAAGCTGGTGCCCCAGCAAGACCTTGTGAAAACTGAGACACAGCAGTGTGAGGTACCCGTGAGGTAAGGGGAAGGCGGAAAAGAGGACGAGTCCCAAACGCATCTGAGGAAAGGGTCAGCCTGCAAGAGCCCGCCCCATCCCATACAGCCAGGTGACTGAACCTTCTGCACCCAGAAAAAAAGTAGAAGGTTTGTCCTCTGAAGAGGATAAAACACAGTAACCTTGGACCCAGGGACACCAGGCACACGGTGAGCAGGGTAGGGCATCCTCCCAAGACAGGAGTTTTAAGTGAAATCTTATATATGCTGAAAGCTACGATCACCAACCCTCTGCCTCCCCTCAAGTCCCATAACAACCACAGCCAGATTCACAGCCCTTGGCAGAAAACGGAAGTGTTCTTCTTGTGAGAAGACGACTGATCAGCTCACAGACAAGACCCACAGACACTGCCATCTGGAGATCCTCTAATAAAATGGTCGGCCCTGGCTGACCGCCCCACAGAGAAGCACGTCAGACACCAAGCACCCTGTCCCCCCTACACGTGTAACATAGCCCTACTAAACCGTTTTGTTAGTGTATAAATCTTAAAACATGAGCAGACAACACCACCAGTCCTAAGAAAAATGTAAATCAGAACCACAACAAGAAGATACCACTTCATACTTATTGGGATGGCTATTATATTTTTAAAAATTAATTAACAAATGGCTCGAGGATGTGGAAAAATTGTGCATTACTGGCAGGAATGGGAAAATGGTAGAGCTGCTATGAAAAACAGTCGGCTGGTTCCTCAGAAAGTTAAACACAGAATAACACATGACCCAGCATTCCCACGTTTACATACCTACCCAAAAGAATTGTACTCCGATGTTCACACACATGCTACACAACATGTATGTCACAACTTTGAAGGCGTCATGCTAAGAATTGGGAAATATTGAACCAACAGCTCACTATTTTTTGTTAAAGCCCCGTAGACTCACTGGCCTTAGAAAATCATATTCGCGTTTAAATTTTATGCAGTTTCCTCTCTTGAAATGATAAATATGCAACTTTTATTTACAAAATATTCAGGTGAGAAGTGACAATACAAAATTATTCCACAGTCTTTCCCACTAAAGTGTCAAGAAGTGCTAGACTCTACTTACCAGAAATCATCGGAGGATGGCTCTCTTGCCAGTTCTGGGAAATGACTGACAGAGAGAGAAGAAAACAGCGTGGTCACGAAACGGTGATCAAAAGACAGGTGTTCACACATGGAACATTCTCCAGAATAGATCACACAATAGCCCACAAACAAGTCTTAATAAATTCAAGAAGACTGAAATCATATCAAGCATATTTTCTGAGCACGATGATATGAACCTAGAAATCAGTTACAAGAAGAACACCGGAAAATTCACCAATATGTGGAGATTAAACAACACATTACTGAACAACCAACGGCTCAAAAAAGAAATCAAAAGAAAAAAATACTGTGAGGCAAAAAAAAAAAAAAAAAAAATGGAAATACAACAAACCAAAATTTATAGGATGCAGCAAAAGTAGTTCTGAGAGGGACATCGCAGTGAGAAATGCCTACACATTAAAAGACAAGAAAAATCTCAAATAACCTAACTTTACACACCAAAGAACTAGAAAAAGAAGAATAAATAAAGCCCTAAGTTGGTAGAAGGAAGGAAATAAAGATCGGAGTAGAAAGAAATAAAAGAGACTAAAAAGAACAATAGAAAAGATCAATGCAACTGATCTTAGCAAAAGATCAATGAAAAGACCAGAGCCGGTGGTCTGAAAAGACAAAATTGACAAACTTTTAGCTAGACTTACCAAGAAAAAAAGAGAAGAGAGAGAACCCGAAATCAGAAATGAAAGAGAAGACATTACCGCTGATACCAGACATACACAAAGGATCATATGGGACTACTGTGAACAATTCTGCACCAACAAATTAGACAACTTAGAAGAAAGGGACACATTCCTAGAAACACAACCAAGATTGAATCATTAAGAAACAGGTAACCTGAATAGACCCATTACTAGTAAAGAGATTAAATCGGTAATCAAAAAACCTCCCAACAAGCAAAAGTCCAGGACCAGACAGCTTCACTGGTGAATTCTCCCAAACGTTCAAAGAAATTTAACACCAATCCTCCTCAAACTCTTCCAAAAGGAGGAGAATACTTCCAAATTCATTTTATGCAGCCAGCGTTACCCTAATACCAAAACCAGACAAGGACACCACAAGAAAGAAAATTACAGGCCAATATCCTTGATGAACACAGATCCTCAACAAAAATTCTCAATAAAATATTCACGAATCAAATTCACAAATAAAATATTAACAAATCAAATTCAGTAATACATTAAAAGGATCATACACCATGATCAAGTAAAATTTATTCTAGGGATGCAAGAATAGTTCAACATCGGCAAATCAACCAATGGGACACGTCCCATTAACAAAATGAAGGATAAAAATCACATGATCATCTCAATAACTGCAGAAAAAGCATCTGATAAAATTCAACATCCATTTATGATAAAAACTCTCAAGAAAGTGAGTATACAGGGAACATATCTCAACATAATGAAGGCCGTATATGACAAACCCTCAGCTAACATCATACTTGATGGTGAAAAGCGGAAAGCTTTTCTTCTAAGATCAGGAACAAGAAAAGATACCCATTCTCATCTTTTTTTTTTTTTTTTTTCCAATATAGTACTGGAAGTCCTAGCCAGAGCAATTAGGCAAGAAAAAGAAATAAAAGTCATTGCATACTGAACATGCTAAAGACTTCACCAAAAAACTGTTAGAACTAATAACTAAATTCAGTAAAGTTGCAGAATACAAAATCAAATACAAAAATCTGCAGTTATTTCCATACACTAATAATGAACTATCAGAAAGAGATATTAAGAAAATGTCAGGTTTACAATTTAATCAAAAGGAATAAAATACCTAGAAATACATTTAACCAAGGAGGTGAAAAACCTGTACACTGAAAACTGTAAGACATTAATGAAGGAAAATGAAGAAGACACAAGTAAATTGCAAAATAGTCCATGCTCACAGATAGGAAGAATTTACATTGTTAAAATATTCATATTACCTGAAGCAATCTATGGATTCAATGCAATTCCTATCAAAATTCCAAGGGCATTTTTCTCAGAAATAGAACAATCCTAATTTGTATGGAACCACAAAAGAACTGAATTGCTAAAGTAATATTGGGAAAGAATAAAGCTGGTGGCATCATGCTGTCTGATTTCAAACTACATTACAAAGTTGTAGAAATCAAAACAGTGTGTTATTGGCAAAAAACAGAGACATGGATCGATGGAATAGAATAGAGAGTCCAGAAATAAATCCATGCATACATGATCAATTAGTTTATGACAAAGAAGCCAAGAATATATACAATGGGGAAAAGGACAGTCTCTTTCACAAACGGTGTTGGGAAAACCGGACAGACGGGCAGATGTAAAAGAATGAAACTGGACCCCTATCTTACACCACATAAAAAAAAAAAAAAAAACTCAAAATAGGTCACAACTTGAATGTAAGACCTGAAACCATAAAACTCCTAGAAGAAAACGTAGGTGGCAAGCTTCTTGATATCGGTCTTGGTGATGATTTTTAGATCTGACAAAAGCAAAAGCAACAAAAGCAAAATTAAATAAATGGGGCTACATCAAACTAAAAAGCTCAGCACAGCAGAAGATAATCAACAAAATGAAAAGGCAGGCTACCGAATGGGAGAAAATGTTTGCAAATCGTATATCTGATAAGGGGTTAATCTCCAAAATATATAAGGAACTCACAACTCAAAAACAAAACAAAACAAAACAAAATCCAATTTAAAAAATGGGCAGAAGATCTGAATATAGTTCCAAAGAAGACATACACTGATGATAAAAGGTACATGAAAAGATGCTCAACATCACTAATTATCAGAAAAAGAAATCCAAATCAAAACCATAATGAGATATCATTTCATAAGCTCATAGATGCAGAGAACAGATTGTCAGTTGCCAGAGGCAGAGGGTGGTGAGCAAATTGGGTTAAGAGGTTGAAAAGGTACAAATTTCCAATTATACGATAAATAAGTCACGATGATATAATGTACAGCATGTAACTATAGTTATAACACAGTATTGCATATTTGAAAGCTGCTAAGAGAGTGAACCTTAAAAGTTCCATCACAAGAAAAAATAAGTTTTGTAAGTATGTATGGTGACGGATATTAACTAGGCTCATTGTGGTGATCGTTTGACAATATATACAGGCATTGAATCATTATATTCTGTACTTAAAGCTAATATAATGTTACATGTCAATTATCCCTCAATAAACAGAAAAGAACAGGCGTTCAGATCAAAACATGAGTAAAAAATTTGTAATTATTTGATTAGAAACTAAATTTATAGATTTCCTGAGATTTCTCACTAGGTTTTAACTGTTCAAAGTTGGGATCCGTTAAATTTTAAACACATCCAACAGTCATTACACATCTAAATCCCTTATAAATATCCTTTAAGTATATCAGAAAGTATTTGGTTAAGGAGCTAAAAATAAATCATTTCATTGGAAGAACACAAATCAAATTTTCAATAATGGATAAACACACTCACCCGTAGGTTACTCCAGCAATGCTACACTTCTTAAAGTTCATGATATTGCATGTAAGAGTTCCAGTTTTGTCAGAAAATAGGTATTTTACCTAAATCAAAAAACAGAAGAAACATATGCCCAAAATGTAATAAGATGCAAAGACCAACAAGTGACATCTTTCCTTCTATGCTTTTCAAAATCTGAACTAATTTTAGAAGTTAAATTTCCTTCAATCAAGCCAAATATATTTTATAATTACATATCTTGTATTAATAATTATAATTATGTATTGTTATAAAATTAATATATTTAATGCTCAGACCACTCGAAAACCTTTTTTGGGAACCAATTCGAGAGTCCAATTGTGTGGAAATGCACAAGGAAGCCTGAGTAACAGCCCCGGAGACACTGTGTAAAGACGATACGCCTAAGCACTCAGTCCTGCCGCAAAGCATCTTGAAGACACACATCACTCTTCAGGTGTTCTCGTGATCTCTACGGTATTGTTCTAACGTCTAACGTGTCAGGGAAACAAGCCCAGATTTTGGCAACTTGGAAGTATTTTTCACACTCCATCGCCTAGCTGGATTCAGAAGGCATATCCTGCAATGGCACAGAACAAACACCAAGCTTCTCAATCACCGTCACAAATGAAGGCCACGCGAAGGCAGCGTGGAACCGCCACAGATTAAATAACTTTCCAAGAGACAACATTTTAGAGATGGAATACAGTAAGCTCTCCATCTACAGAGGTAAAAAAGAGAAATTTCTGGACAAAGGCAACAGGCCAACCATTCTGACGTGATTAAGCGTGTGCAGAAGAGATGACTCCCATAGGCACGTGTGCTGTGTGGATTCTGCTCTCGCAGGCGGATAATGTGATACAGAAAGAGGGGGAAAGAAACTCGGAGGGGACAGTTCGTTTCAGGCTCTGGGCTCCAGGCATGTGGGCTCTGGAAAAGTCACCTCACCCTTTTTGGCTTCAATTTCCACAGCTGCGAAATAACGGGTTTGGCCAGGAGACGTGTAACATCATTCCGTGTGTGACATTCTGGGAAATTATGTCACAGAACAGTGACAGGGTGCAGTTAAGAGAATCGTCTCCAGTAAAATTCCAGTTTCTCGGTGGTTCTCTAAAGAGGGGTCATGACTGTGGCCAGATGCTAGATGTATTCCAAGGGTCCCAAAGGGGAGCCATGCTTTACTGCTTCAGAGAAGACAGGTTAATGAAGAACATGAATTGTTTACTCCGTGCTTTTTTCCTAATGATACAATACGAGCAAATACACTGCAAATTATTTTTGAAGCACTCAACAGGTCTCTAAGTAAAAAAGGATCTTTTTCAAAAAAAGATGATTAACGCTCCTAAAAAAGTCAAATATTACACAGAAATATAAAATCAGTACACTAGGGGTAATTAATACTTTAACTATAAATAAGTTTTTATATAGCTATATGTGCAGTAAGTCTAAAGGTATAAAAATTCAGTAGAATCGGCCTTCTAATAAGCAGTGTTTCTTTCTGCCTCTTTTTTTTGACAATTAAAAGATTAAATCAAAATATTAAAAAATGAAAATTTTATGATAAAGAATTATTAAGATTTGCTATCACTCTGCCTATTGAATCTTAACTCCCAGTTCAAAACTACTTCCCCACGCAAACTTTCCCCATATGCCCAACAAGGATGAGTGATTTCGTCTTGGGGGCTTCTCGAGCATTTTAAATCCTTTGGGGTTTTGGGTCCAGTACACTAGCACCTAAGAACAATGACATACTGACAACTGTGCAGAAGAGCCAAGGACCTCATCTCGGGCACCTCCGCCCCCTTGAATGGGCTCAAAAGTCTCAAGAGGTAAACAGACAATGCATTATTATCATGTCTCTTATTTCCCTGCATTTATATATGGAGAGACTGCTATGGGGACATAGAAAAGAGATAAATGAACTTTATCTGGAAAACTGGAAAGGCATTCAAAGAGGAGGTAAATTTAGTCTGATATATATACACGGCATCCACTTCATAGGGTAGTTGGGAGCTTTAAATAAGATGCATAAAATGAAATTATAATTTTTAATTGCAATGCATTCAAAAGAGGTTATTCCTTGCAATAATTTCAACATAAGACAAAAACAATGCAAAGCACAACTCAGTAAAGGCAATTAGGGTTTGGGGGTGATGGTGGATGGTTCTCTGGAACATTTCAGAAACAAAATCTGGAACATGTAAGAGATCTGATGGACACATGTCCTTCATATTGTCCCCCAAATGTTTTGTAGGGTTGTACCCTATCTGAGTGTCTTCACCATTGTTTGAAGTTGTTGCAGGAGATAAGATCCATTCATGCTCACGTTGCAGTCACCAAAGTCCCCACAGAGGCTCTCACCTGACCAAGCTCTTCATTCAGGTTTGATGTCCTGGCCATTGCAGGAGTATCATTTCCAAGATAATACATATCCGTGTCCTGAGAGCGAAAAGAGGGGGCACTTCAGAAAATATATACCTTAATCCTTCATTTAGATTAAAAACAGACAATAGAAATGCTAAGTTTTAATTCTACGGTGCAATTACAGTGGCAATTAGTATAGAGAAACACCGTGATACAGGGAGAAAACGTGGTATTTATATGGAGAAGATTTGGTTTCAGGAGGATCATTTCACGACCTAACTCATACTTCTGAGCTCAGCTAATGCCTCATTCATGGGACTGTTAGGAAGATCGAGGAAAAATGTCCGTGACAGCACCCAATCCACATACACAGATTCAGTTCCTTGGAAATTCCCCTTCCATGCTTACAGTGGAATCCAAGGGTACTGTCACCATGAACCGTGACACCTCATAAACCGTGACACCTCAGAGACTTTTCCTCAGCACTAATTCGACTTCGAAAGCGTGAATGGCAATTGCAGCCATTTCGCCCCCATTCACCAGAAGACAAGCATCTGTGGAGCATTCGGCCTCCATTTTCTCACTTAATTCTCACGAGAACCCCTTGAACAGGCACGGCCGTCGTCCTCATGTCAAAGACCAGGAAGCTGAGATGTTAGGTAACTCGTCACTGTCACTGGCTCAGGGACGCGCTTCCTAGACGCCCCTGGCTGGTTCTCTGGCCCTTTACCTCCCATGACCGAATCAGAAATTAACTATATCCTCCCTCTTCTGGGAGCATGATTCAATGGCTAAGGCTCTGAAAGAGTATTAGAGAACCTGGCGGACATGTCTGCGGCAGCTTGACCTTTAAACTCCACCGTGATACTCACCCAATTTATGAAAAGGGCTTGGGTGTATTTCACAACCTCAAGAGTAACCAACAAACTGATGGGAATCAGGTTGTTGTACAGGATGATGAACGTCAGCAAGTTGTACCCGAAATTATCCGAGGTCGTGTCTGTGGAAGAAAACCGAAAAATCTGTAGTTTAGTTGGTCTCCGTTAAGTTTCCTTTATGATTTTTAGAGTTTTTCTAAAAGATGTCCACACACAAAAAAAAGTCTATTGGCTCGCGTACACATCTAGAGATTCGAGTTAAAATAGTTACTGCGCATCCACGTGGCAACGATTGTGAATACAAAGGCTAGTAATTTACAATCCCTTCCAATGAAGAGCTGGCTTCTAATGGGAGGCTGTGGGGAGGGGAGCAGGCAGGAGCAAGCATGACCCCCAATGTGACCACGCAGCAGGGTACGGCTATCAAAGAGGGGTTCCGAGGGCATTGCAGAAAGCGGGGCAGGAGATTTTTTTTTTTTTTTAATGGAAGACATTGCCAACTGAAGACCATCTGTTGAAGCTCCAGTCCAATTTAGAGGACGGAGAGAAGACGAGTAACAAAAAGGATGCGGAAAAGAGAACGGGTACTGGAAGTGATCATAAGGAATATCTACAACCTCATTAAGGTATGAGTACTGACTAACACTCCCGAGAGTTGGTAAAATGGCGGGGAGGGGTGGGGAGTGTGAACAGGGGAGGGAGGCAGGTGAGAAGCCTGGAGCCTATTTATGGAAGATGAGAGAAGGAACGTCTTGATGCAACAAGACCCCTAAAGATGGAACGAGACCCCTGAGGGATGGAATCCAAAGCAGCGTCAGGGTCAGGCCGGAGAGGAGGAAGGACCAGGAGAGGAAAGAGAGGTGCCAGTCCTTTGGGCATCAAAAGGGGAAAGCTCTTTGCACTCAAGTCCAAGCTCCGAGAGTGACAACGCTAAGTGTTTTTTGTTTTTGTTTTTGTTTTTTTGGATTAAATTAGTTCTTTATGTTTACAACCCATAAGCCAGAGAGCCTATTGAGCAAGGTGTCAAGGACACAGGGTTTCTTAAAATATTCCTCCCCTTCTCTCCATATTTTTACTCCACAAGCTAGACTAGATAATATATACTCTAAAAATAAAAAAGAATTCCCAATGCAGAGCTCTGTAAAGAATTTCTAGTAATTCAACTGTTCCAACTTCAGTTATCACTGTGAATGAATTCGATTCATTATGAAAAGAGGAAAGCATCAAGGAAAGGGGTAGGACAGGGCAAAGTCAGATTTCTCAGGCCAGCTGGATGGCTCGCATGCCCTCCACTCAGCTTCAAGCCCCAGTCGCGTCACATGACTTGAGTTTCAAATGTTCTCAGGGTACGGGTGTTCGCAAGCTCTGTCCCCACAGAACAACAGCCAGGAGGGGAGAAGCAGCTCTACAGCTTGAGGTCCCGGTCCGGCTTCATGCTAAAGGGCTCTAGCCTCTCGCCCTCCGGCAGCGTGCTGTTGAGCCTCTCCATCAGGGGCACAGTCTGGTCTATGCCCCAGTGTCCCACAGGGCTCCCGGGCATCCCCTACGGCTACCTCTGACCAGCCTGACTCAGCTGCCACCACTGAGCAGGCCAAGAAGATAAAGAACCTAAAAAGGAAGCTTCGGCAGGTGGAAGAGCTGCAGCAGCGGACCCAGGCTGGGGAAATCAGCCAGCCTAGCAAAGAGCAGCTGGAGAAGCTAGCAAGGAGGAGGGCACTGGAGGAGGAGCTAGAGGACTTGGAGCTAGGCCTGTGAAGCCTTTGGAGAATAGGAGAATGGACTGCAGAACAAACCGTGGGGCTCTCTGGGATCCTGGTGAATGCGGGCAGTGGCCGTCAGGAGGGCTCTCCCCCCATACCGGCCCGCTTCCACCTCTCATGGCCCAATTCTGTCCTCCGGAGCCTAACCTCCCCTCTCATCCCTTCTTTTTTCTTCTGAAGTGCTATTTTTTGGACTTTTCCCTGCTCCCATTCCCGGTGTTCAAAGATCTCAGTGACTACCCCAGGTTCCTTTGCTGCTGATCCGGGCGTCTTGTTCAAAGGAAAATTGGGAGGGTGGGAATCTTTTGGAGAACTGAGGTTGAGGGTAGGGGGAGTACGCCCAAGTCTGGGAGTCTTGGTTCTTGTTCGGTGTTTATGGGTTATCTCCCCCGCCCCCCCATCCATGACTTTTTTTTTTTTTTTTAAGAACAGAATAAACAAGTAGACAAATAAAAAAAATGTGTCTGTGGCGGAGGATGGCGGACAGACATTTCGTTGACTTTCTGGATCTGCTCCGCGTATTTGGCGTATCTTTTCTGGCGTTCTTGCCTGAAGCTAACGAGTGTTGCTACTGATAGATCCATCTCTTTGATTCATTGAACCAAAGCATTCTGATTAAAAGCAACAGCCTCTGTACGCTGATGAAGGCGATCCTGATATCGGAGGCAGAGCTGCAACACCTGCTGAGAATCTAGTTTCTCCAATGTGGTATCCCAATATCTCCATCCTTGCTTCCTCATGACTCCTAATCTTTCACTTCTCCTTGAAAGGCTTGGAGAGTACAAAGTAGCCAACGGACGGACAAGGATGGCCGCCACACATAAGAAGTGCTTGGAAGGTTTTTTTCAAAAACGTTTTGGCCCACGTGCACAAGCAACCTACTCCAGCACTTACCCATCTTATTGATGTACCAGTTCTTTCCACCTTGAGACTGGTTCCAGTACAGGGCCCCCGCTGAGCTCACCAAGGCCATGACCAAGAGGATGCCAAACAGCACCAGGATCTGCAAGTTCGTCACTTTCTCAACGTTCGACCTCTTGAGAGGTGCTTTGGTAGAATTCTGGGCAACAACATTTAAAATCAGTGAGGGTCACAGAACAGACTTGGGGGCAAGGAGTGGGGAGAAAAGGAGATAAGTTACCTAAACTTAACAGATGAAAAGTAAAAGACTATATATATATTTTTGCCAAATAACCAATGACATTAAAAAGTGTACTCCATTCTTGATTCAACAACTAGTTTTAAATAGAGATGACAGAAGACACGCTCTACCATTTTAAAGAACACAGTTCAACTCTACATGAGTCGACCTGTACTTATGATTACGTTTTAGCATAACATTAGCTACTTTCATTCTCTTAGAACAAAACATAGTCTGAATGATTTAAGTCTAATTTAAAAGACATCAGCATGTCGCTAATTTAAAAGAAACTTAAAGATTCTATATCATAAAAATCTAGAGAGAGAGACTTCAAAG